GAAGATGGCGGAGGCCTGAGGCCGTCCCTGCCAGCCCTTGCCGCTGCAGTACGGGGCTTGGTTCTCGTGTCACAAAGCGGTGATGGTCGGTCTGTGAGATGGGTGGGGAGCGTGATTACACCTCCTCAAGCGGCCCTGTAACCTTCAAGTAGCTCTTAACTGGAAAAATTATCTTTTATCGTCTATAGCGGTTATCCTGTGTTGTGGTTCAACCCGCAGCTTCTTTGAAAGCCAGTTAAATCACTAATAGTGCAGCTGTAACTTTCAAGAAACTCGCCGAAGTCCTGTCTTTGAGAAATGGTTTGCAACTTTGCCACGATTGAATCTAGACACCTAAAAATCTCGTACTAAAGGTGGGGATCTCCCTGTAGCAAGTCTGTTGACAGCACTCCTATGGTAGTGCTTTTGATGGAGTTCGTAGAGGTAACTCACAGGCGTCGCTGCCTGTTAGCCCCGTGCTCTGCCTGCCACACGCTGGAACCATTGCCTTGAGGAACTCATTACAGAGACAGCTTGAAATATGCATATATAACAAGTAAAAGATTGATAATTTTTCATGTAGCTAGCTGTTTTGTTGGGTTTTGTTTGTTACCAGATTATAGGGGGAAGAAATTGTTACATAAGATATTAAGTGTTCGGAAGGAAAATCCACGTTGAAGCAATTCAGTAGGTATGGCAAAGGATAAGAAGAAAGATGGCAAGAAGGCAGAAAAATCTGCACATCCTCCTGTTCCTGCACAAGATACTACAGTTGGGAGTACTTCCACAGAGCTGACTGATTTGCAGACCTTAGTGAACAGGGAGGGAGAAACACAGGCAAATGCAGTGATACCAGATAAAGAACCAGAGGAGGTGGAGGAACCTCCAGTCCAAGATGTTCCTCAGTATTACGAAGAGCCAGTTCTTACTCGAGTTATTGTAAAAAGGTACGTGTGTTACGAATACATCAGTGAAGTCAAGAGTTCTCATTTAATATCTCTGGTGTACCCAGTGTCATACAAACATGAATTTGACTCCTGATTTGAGGCAGTGAGTTGGGTTATTCAGGCCTAGTAGTTATTCAGCTCATATCCCTTAAGAATATCCTGAACTGTGGGAGAAGGTGGATGCCAGTGATAACCAAATCCTTTGGTAGTTCAGGGAGACTATATGTAATGTTTCACATACTGACCAGATTGCCTGGTTTAAGCTAGTAAATGCTTCCTGTGTGCTTTGTTTTCTTAATGGAAAGAAATACGGGTCTAAAGCAACACAGCAGTTGTGTGAACTATTACAAGGAAGGCGCAAAAATTGGGAAATCTTGTGGTATCTCAGTTTTTTACACGAGATGCAACAATTGGCCTGTGTGTAGACCGTGGTAAACCAAAGGTCGTTTATTATACGTCTGTTGTGATGTAGGTCTGCTAGCAGTGACCTGAAATCTTCATCTTCAGTTTGTTTTCCTTGCAGCTATGAAGGTGAAAAAGTCCATGGATTGTATGAAGGTGAAGGATATGCCTGTTTTGAGGGGGGAAATACATATAAGGTGAGTGTGTACATTTTTACAACAGTAGTAGTGGATCAGATCTTTGTCTAGAACAGACAGGCTATTTCTGTTAACGTAGGAGGAGACTGAGCACCTAGAATGTGTAAGGATTGAAAGCTCTGTTGGTTTTTGGCATTACAACTTCATTTGTAACTAGTAATTGGAGGGGAAATAATATGTCCTTATTTTGAAACGTTAGTCACTGTAGGCTTCGGTTGTGGTAAGACTAAATGTGCAAACGATGCCGTTCTCTTCATTTGAAGGGCATGTTTTCAGGAGGGTTCATGCATGGCCAAGGGACTTACACGTGGGCTGACGGAGTGAAGTACGAGGTAAAGTGCAGTTTAATCTATAACTGTCCACAGTTACAGCCAATAGGATGTGCAAATTGAAGGAAAATAGATAAGTTGCAGTAGTTGGTACAGTATGGGCGGGAATTGCAGAAGTATGGCAGTGATTTCAGTCACAAGCCTGACTTCTCCCAGGTAGTTGCGGAATGGTGAGTCACTTTTTTAGATGTTGTAATCTAATCTTTTAGGGAACATTTGTTAAGAATGTGCAGATGTTTAACGGCCGTTATACATGGAATGATGGCAGCATTTACGAAGGATCAATCAAGGATGGAGTTAGGCATGGATTTGGATTTTTCAGGAGCGGTACTCGTCCTGTTTCATACATTGGCTATTGGTGTAAAGGCAAAAGACATGGAAAGGTAAGTAAGAACACCAAATGAGCGCCAGATCTTGAGTGACCACGTTCTAGAACAGCAAGCACTCTTGTGCAAAGGTTTTGCAAAAATGTTTTGTGCCATTGCATGGTCTTGTACTACGTGGAGATTTATTTTTTTCTAAGGGTCTTCTCTGAAGTCGTGGATGCTAATTAAAACCATTAGATGGGGCACTGTTTATAGTAGAGGGGGTGAAAGGTATCCTAGAAGTGTAATTGGCCTGTTGTGTAGCTTGTCATTTATGGTGCTCCAGGTAGATGATGACAAAGTCAAAACTGAGGACTGCATCAGTAGCCACGTTTAGCTTCCGCGTAATGACAAAATGTGTTTGTCACACCTCCCAAATGTGTTAAGCAGACCAAGTATGATAATTACAATTAAGACTGCCTTGTCTAGTGTAAGTAACATCTATTTCCAACTTTTTAAAGTCAAGTAGTGCTTTATCTGTCACCATTCTGTGCATCCAGATTGAAACGCTTTTCTGGGCCTGACATTTTGAAGGCTGATGTTCAGCATGTGAGGAAAATCCATTCTAATCATGGCTTTTTTTGCTCTGTGTCACTAACGAGACACTAAAGGCACTCAGGCTGCTGTGGATGGTCACCAGTGCAATGGTCTGACCAGTTTGTTCTGAGAGGAAACTATCAGATAAAGAGAGAACAATTAATGCTGTACACCTACTGTTGGAAGTTGAATTCTGAATGAGCTGGAACGCTGATTTACCTCAGATTAAGCTGCCAAAGTTAGCTCTCTGAAAGTCTTTCTAAGTGGTTTGAAAAACCTGTAGAATTGACATCATGTAATACAATTTTGTTTTGAACACTTGGGCTTTTTTAAAGTATTAAATAATATTCATCAAACAAGGTTGCTTTTTTTAATTTTATCACTTTATTTGCTTTAAGTAGTGTTTCAAAGTGACTATAAGAGCATAATTACGTGTCACATTTGTATGCGACGTGTTATTAGCGTAGATGAATATTTAGGTATTTAAATTGACTATTGTTTGTTTTAGGGTACCATTTATTATGATGAGGATCATACCTCTTGGTATTCAGGTGACTGGGTAAATAACGTCAAAGAAGGATGGGGAATGAGATGGTAAACATGATAGCACTTGTTCTTATCTTTATTTTACATGTATTATCATACAGTTTCTCCTGTTGTTTAAAATGGATACAAATGCTGCCATTTCATAGTAGTATGTATTTTCTGTAAATAATCGTACAAAGTGCTTTATAAGAATAAAATAGACCTTCTCTACAACTTACATTTTTATGTTGGTATATTTCTACTGATCATTCCCACAAAAAAAATCTAAAGACAAAATCCAAAATCAGCTTTGGTAAACCACAAATCAACATTTAAAAATAAATAAACTTGATTTAGTTGAACAGATGGACCTGCTTTCATGAATAAAAGAATTATATGTGGAACTATGTATAAATGAATATTTTGATTAACTGTGGCCAAGACTCTTCGGGGGGGTGGAAAAAGTGGTGAATATTTTTACAGAGATCTCTAAGTTCCGAAGAGGAGGTAAACAGTGCAATCAAACCTCTGTATGCCTGTCACAGTGAGCCAGCTTTCAAAGTAATGCTAATACTTAGCGTTAATAAATGCTAAATTTATTAGTAATGAAGTTTTGCATAAACCTTGCTTTCATGAGATCCTCTCAGAATTTAGTGTGAAATGACTCATTAACTTTTATTGTTTTCTTGCAGCTATAAGTCTGGAAATACCTATGAAGGTCAGTGGGAGAAAAATGTACGTCATGGAAAAGGAAGGATGAGATGGTTGACAGCTAATCAGGAGTATATGGGACAGTGGGTGTGCGGCATACAGGTATTTGTTCCCCAGCAACCTCCTCAGTTCAGCATCTGTCCGTTGCTCTCGTAAAACTCCATAGGGACCTTTGTGCAATATCGAAGGGGCTTTGAATGATTTTTGCTGGTTGAGATAACTGGTGTAATAGACTGTTTATTGAAAGTTGATTCTCATGTTATTCAGATAATATATATTCAGATTTTTTAAAATATTCAGATTTTTAAAAAGCTTTTGACTTAGTCTTCCAAAATCAATTTGATTATCTAATGGAAAATATAAAACTTTTTCATTAAAAACAGTTTAAAAAGTTAAATATTTGTGACTACACTTGGATTGAGCTATGACTTCAGCAGTGAGTATGTGTGGCAATTTGCTTCTGTGTCACCTGTAAAATATTAGACCACACTGTTCCCTCTTATAAAAGTTTTATGATGGAAGGAGATGATTTCTGGCATTTTTTGTTCCTTCTATTTAGTATTCTGTTGGAAAAAGAATGTGAGCTACTTCCTTTGTCTTTTCACTCTGCATAAAATTGTCAAGGAGTCCAGCTTCTGGAACACCATGGGGCTCGCTCCGGCATGGTGTTCCTTCCCTGGCTGTTCAGCGTTACAGTCAAAAGGGCTCAGGCAGAAAGAGTCCTGTCGGTAGAGCAGGCTCAAGTATGTGTTGATTTGGTGTGTGCTCTGAGTGCTTCTCCCACACACCTTTGCAGAATATAGTTCTGTGGATGGTTTGAAGTACTTCAGCTATCAACTGGGTGCTTTTATTTGAGAGATTTGCCAACAGCGACCCTTAAAAATGCCTAGGTGTTTGTCCTTATAAAAGTCTGAACCTGTAGCAATAGTAGCTGTTACGGAGATACTTTAACACAAATTTATTTCAGCATGGATATGGCACCCACATATGGTTTTTGAAGAGAATGCCTGCGTCTCAGTATCCTTTAAGGAATGAATACAGAGGTGATTTTGTAAACGGGGAGCGACATGGACACGGGAAGTTCATATATGCCAGTGGAGCTGTGTACAGTGGCGAATGGGTTTGTAATAAGAAGCATGGCAAGGTGAGTTTTGACAAGTAGTAAGACAAAACTACAGATAACACCAGAGGAGACTCTTCTGCTCTGTATCGTGGGTCCGTAGGTTTCTATATGGGAAACAACATTCAGTTTGCATTGTGGATGGGCTCTCAAGTGCAGAGTCCACTGAAAGCAGAAGGAGTCCTTCCAAGGACCTTGCTGGGCCACAGATTTGACTCTGTGGTCAGATGTGTGTGTGTATAAAGAAATATGTTTTACTGTGGAGATTTTCAGTGCAATGGGTGCATTTTGATTTTTGCAGCAGTTGGTCAGGACTTTGACAGTGTAAGCTAGTGGGTTTCAAGCTGTCCTTGCACAGCGATGTTCTCACGTTAACAGATTCTTTTAATAAAACTGAGCAGAGTGCCACATATGCAAACCAAGGATTGCAAACAAGTTTTTGTATATGGGGAGGGGAAATGTTTTTTCCTCAAGCTGTTTTTCAAAACCAATCAGATACATGGGCAATTCTTCATCCCAGAAACATACTTGAATTAACAGATGACAAAGTCCTTTATAAAAGAGGGTAGGAAAAATGATTTTGCTTTATCTCATATATTGCATTTTCGCCAAGATTCTTAGAAGGAAATATGACTGAGAACATTAATGTTACTTTTTCTGAACTTTGACTTATATTTATATTGAAATTAATCAAAGTAATCTGTCTATAGGGCAGGTTTGTCTTCAAGAATGGTCACGTTTATGAAGGGGAGTTCATAGGTGACCGTAGAGTAGAATATCCTGCTTTTCGAGTGGATGCAGTGAATGCACAAGAGCTGGATGCCGTTTGTGCAGGAAGTCATTTTGGCACTGGTAAGCAGCTTAAGAAAACAAATTCTAATCAGTTTGCATTTCATCGTTCCTTTTTGCTGTGATGTGAAGCTGTTTGTATTTACTCAAGAGTGAGGCATATTTCTTTAAAGTACTTTGATAACGATGGGAATTATCTTAATAATTAATGACGCCCCTGTGTTTCCTGTGTGTGACACTGAGTTGAGTGACACATCCACACTACATAGTCTAATACTTTTAGAACACTGTTGTCTGAAAGTTTCATAAGGTGTATAATACCTGCATTTCCTTTTGGCTAGGAGTTGGTTTTGACAAAGTTACTCTCAGTCATTATGCTTTGATTGTGAAATCTCTGCTCCTCACTATAAAGGAGTCTGTTATTCTCAGTTTACTGTCAATATGATAAGAAATAATATATGGGTTTTTTTTCTGTTTTTGCATATGTGTATATATATAATTCCATTCTAGTTTCTTCTAATTTATTTTATTTGCATGGTAGAGAATATCACAATCATTAATGAGTCAGAAAATACTTCTGTTCTGGGATCGAATATTGAGTTGGATATATCTTCACTGCTTGACTTGTTGCCAGGGGAAGGGAGACATGAAGAACTGAAACAAGTAAGAATCTACTGTTTGATACTTTAGTTTTCCCCTGCAGTATGTCTCATACTATTCTATTTCTGGTTCATTTGTATTAAAGTAACTCTTTCTATTAAAGAATTACTTGAACATATGAAGGCCATGAAAACAGAAAAGCAGAAAGAATGAACAGACCGTATTGCCTCTTCTGAGCTTCCTCTAGAAGACAATAAAAAATACATTAACATATCTGGAAGGGCATTCAGCAACTGCCTTCAGCTACTGTAAAGTTTGTCTGCTGACAGAGACTGATTGATTTTTACCAATCACCAAAAACTCCCTATTGTAACTACACTTGAGTAACGCTGTCATGATCACTTAACCAGGGATGTGCTTGTCAAAGTTGCAAGATCACAAGCATTACATGCCCAGTTACCTGATCAGTGCAAGCTGACCCTGTGATCCTTGCTGGGAGATGATGGTGAACTCATATCCTGCTTTATTTAGGTGGAATTTGCTGTGCTGAGGCATATTACGGAACTGAGAAGACTGTACACCTTCTACAGTGGTTTAGGCTGTGATCAGTCTCTTGACAACACCTTTATCATGACTAAGCTCCAATTTTGGAGATTTCTGAAGGACTGCCGGTTTCATCACTCCAACACAACTCTTGCTGAGATGGATCGGATATTGAGTGGTTTGTATTTCTGTTGATCAGGGTCTAGAATCGGGGAATTTTAATAGTAAGCTGTGAAGAGTTGGAGTGTCAAGTTCTACTGATAGCTCAGCTGGGGTAGTCGGGTGGCCCTGGGTGACTACCTCTGTGCCTGTGAGTGCTCAGTGGATGCTTCTCCAGGCACTTCAGTTGCTTACGTGAGAAAATGCAAAATTAAAGTACCACTTTAAAAATTGTTCTAAAGAGCCATCTGTTCAAAAATTGGATTCAGCCCTGGTCTTGTCTTTACTATTACATGTTGTTTCAAGAGGTCTGAGACGGAGAAGTCGAAAGAATTAATTTTTTTTCCCCAGGGCTCTTAGCTTTGGTTTGCATGTAGTATGTTGTTTTTTCTCCCATAGAGCCACTTAATCAACCAGCTCCATTTAGATATGCAGAGGGATGCACTGCAGTATCCCTAGTATGTGAAGGGTTTAACTCCAGCTTTGCTTTCTCTTTCATTCCTGTATGCTCTGTGGTTGCATTTCTCAAAAGGGAGAATCTGATAAGATTCAGCTATAGGTGGACCGTTCTCCCTTGGCCTGCTGGTTTGGAAGTGATGCTGTGTCTGCTCCGATTGTTCCAGGAGTGTTGTTGCACCGTGATAGGTAGAGACTGAGAGGGTAGGAAAGGCTGAGAAGTCAATATGCCTATAAGCATTTTAATGTTCATAATAGCAATACAGATTTATTTTATCAATTTTTTTTAGGTGATAAAACACCACTTGAGGAGATACATAGTCCTCATGAGAATTTACTGTTCAGAACATTTTTATCTTACCTTATTCGTCTGGCATTTCATATCTACCATGAAGAGCACAAGTAAGTTTCATCTCCTAGTGACCTTTATTTCAGTGTAACCAGTTTGAATCTTCCCAGACTAGAGTATTTTTGTTTCAGCAGTAGAGAGGAAGGTCCTTATCTGCGTAAGTGTTTCTTTTTTTTTTCCTGCTGCCTGTCGTATCCAAGGTGAGTAATGTTGGTATTTCTTCTGTACTGTGCAGAATCCATCAATTAGTGCCACATTCATCGCAGTTTTATTGTAACTGTTATTTTTTCCCAATTAATTTTTAAAGGTATCTTATTTTCTGAAGAACGATGTACAGTTTTTGCTATGAGCTACATCAATAAATGCTGGGAAATATACAGAGCTTTTTGTAGACCGAGTACCAGACCTCCGTTTGAACCCACCATGAAAATGAGGCACTTCCTTTGGATGTTGAATGTAATAATCTACATTTTAAAAAATAATAAAATTCTGTGATTAGATTTGTGCAGCTTAAATGAGCATTTTGAAATACTCCCTGTGGCTTCTGCACAGTTGAAAAGGTAGGAGTGATATTATTTTTACAAACTGTCCAACAAACGTTAAAGGGACAGCTGTTCTACAGGTATTCTTTATGCACTTTTGCAGGCTCAAATTCTGATTTTGTACTTTATAATTTTAAAGAATCAAACCTTAAACAAAATGTGTTTTAAGAAAATATAAGTATTTTTGCTGGCTTTTTTCCCCCCCCATAGCGTAAAATGTATATATGAAAATGTCTTACAGGTAGAACTCAAAGACTGTCATTTCAGAGCTTTTGAAATAACACAGTAAACCATTGTAATAATCTATTAGTTTAATATACATCATGATAAGCATGAGACTCTTTACTAAAAGTCAATAATTCAGGGAAAGGTCAAGATTACACTTAAGCAGGAAACAATTCCCATTGAGATGCCTGCCTTTTGGGTCACTGCCACTGTTGAAATCCAAGCTTTTTTTTCATGGGGAAAAAAAAAATCAAATGGCAGAATTGTAATTTCTTACATTTTTACTTCTGAGCTTTCACAAGTTCTCTCTTAACACTCTTTTTGCAGCCTAGGAGAAGTTCCCGTTGACTTCAGTAGGGTGAGAATTCACTGTGTCATTCGTTACGGACATGGAAACCACTAGAAATTTTGGCACAGGCTTTAAAGGCAGTTAGATTAGGTCCGTGTGGGAATGTCTGAGGGTGCTGTTAACATGTTACATTTAATCTTAACCAGGATTTTCAGCTTCTCAGCAAACAATTGACTGCTTCAAGACTTGTGGAAATACTTCTCAAAGACGGGCCCTCTCTATGTGGCAGCAGTAGTACCAACCTGGAGCAGGAGGTGTGTATGGAAAAAAACTTCATTGCTACAGGAACAATTAAAATTACTTTAAAAAATGCTGCAAATACTGTTCTATCTGCTAGAACAGGAGGAAGATAATTTAACTTTAAAAACCCAAAAGGGTACAGATGTGAGCCTCTATTTTTATCTTCCTTTGTTCTGCCTATATCTTACCTTAGGTCATGTCTTCCCTGTTTCGCTTATTATCTTGCCCTTAGCACAGTGTCAGCGTAGCTGAGCACACAGGTAACTCCTTAAGAGTGCCATAACCCAGAGGGTGAAATACTGTTTCTAGGAGGCTGCTGCGAGGAATAGTTCTGTCTGTGGGGCAGTTGCCTGGCAATGCATGTATACAGTGATTACACGGGGATGAATCTCAGCACTTCCAGCTGCCGAGGAGTGCGCTGGGAATGTTAAGGTGGGTCAGTAATTAAGGTGTGAACCCACTGATCCTGAAAGTCTGGTGATCCAAGAAACCTGATTTGTGATGTGTGAAGTGCTGCCACCTCAACAAGGTAGAGTAGTGACTGTAGAAGCGGCGTGTGCCACCTGCTAATAGAGGGCTTTGCCCTTAAAGAATTACCACTTACTCTCTGACGCTCAGTGGTAAATGACGTGATTGAGTTTATTCTTTTAAACAGTACCTGATATACAGAACAGAGTGTCAGTCTTACTAAGGGATTCATTTTACACCCCCCTCTTGGGCCTTCTGGAAGCATCATAAGCAATTAAACGTTTTGGGTAACAGCAATAGTTGTGTGTTATTTGTTACGGAAATTTCACCTAGCTCCAGATACAGCAATATGCAGTTTTTTATTTCAGTATGACTTTTATACACTGTGTTATGCTTTATACCTTCCTGAATTTTTTAAGCTCTGGAATTTTTCAATTTGTCTTCAGGAGTAGGGATGTTTGAGTAGACATGTGAGGTCAGAGAAGCTTCACAGTCACTTCTGAGTTCTTTGCTTGCTCAGGTACATATGCCTGTTAATGAAGGGATTTTGCAAACACTAATTAATTAATCACTGTGTTTGTTTTCTTCTAGATTGTTTTTCTTGAATTTATGGAAGCTCTTCTTGATTGTGCGTTGGTGTATGTTACCAGTGATCTGATTAAGGAGCGAGTAGATTGTGACGATAAAATAGGGAGCTTTAGAATCGAGGGTCTCTCCGAGGGAACCACAAATGTGTCTCTGTACCCAGAATATTCTCTGTCTCAGGTAAATTTGATGCAGACCTGTTAAATATTATTAGATGCCTACTTAGAGGGTAAGCCCTGTGAGTGTTCTGTTTCCTGAACCTGGAAACCAATTTCCTCTTTTTGCATAAACAGTCATTTGATTGGGACCTGCTTTTTCGGTTTGTTGCTACCTTAGATTGTAACATCAGTGTAAACAGTTTTACCACACCTGCACATTTTCCTAGGCAACTCTAAGTACACATAAAGTACTTGCAAGTCTTCAGGGGTTCGAAGGGCAATTGGCAACCAGTTGACTGGTGGAAGATGTGCCTCTCCTGCTTTAAGTTGAATGCCTAAAATTGTCCTTAAAAATGGCATCGCAGTTGCGGTTAGCAAGCCTTGCTGTTTCCCAGCAGTTAAGCTGTGCTCTGGTTTTTGCTAACCTTTTGAATGAGGGTTTTGTAGGTTGTAAGATGCTCCCTGTGACACTGGTGCGATTCAGGTGCACAGAGTAGTGGAAGGCATGACTTACAATTGTTATTATTTGGAATTATGCACAAGACGGAAGTATTTTTATTAATTCAGAGCATGAAAAACCACTTTTTCCCATTCTCTGGCCAATTTTTCCCATCCTGTGGAATGCATTCCCTTGCATCACTGCAAGCATTAATGGAGTTGGCACAGTGAAATGGTCCAGTTGAAATAGCCAGATTTTCCAAGACTAAAAGAAAATCATAATTTAAAATGCATTGGACATACAACTCTTCTTGTGTTCGCTTTTTATTAGTGCACTTACAGCAGAAGTATGATTGGTACACACATAAATGATGATATTTCTGAGGCAGCTGAGCTTTACACTTGTTCATGGCCATCTTCAAGCAAAAATGTCTTATCACAAGATGAACTAAAGAAACATGAGGTATGTAAAAAGCCCACACCGAAAGATGGAGCAGGGCGTTTGCAATTCGTGGCTGACAGCGTGGCCAGGGTAGTTTCAAGTTTTGAAAGGAAGGAGAATTTCATCTAATATTAAATACAGTGTGTTCCCGCAACTGGATCCATGTGTGGGCCTGGAAGTAGTACATTTCCATTGCTAACAAAGCGGTTGCTGCCACACATACCCACAGCTTATTGTTATTTAGAATATTGGGTGCTGTCTTCCACATTAACCAAAACAGTGTGAATACAGTTTTATCTTTATTCGCAAGGCGGGGAGTGAGAGGCTGAGAAGTGGGCAGAGACATTCAGAAGCACTGGGGAAAGTAACTGTAATATAATTCCTAAAACAATTTTCGGAGTTCTTCCAGCAAACTTTTCACCTTCACTGCCTTTACAAATTTGTACTGAGTCTGTGACTGTAATGAGGTTCTTAATATTCCAAGACCAAAAGGTAAGATACTTACTGTAAGGGGTAAGATAGTAAGGAATATTGGCCTCTATTGGAATCATGGAAATCAGACAGAGAATTTGGAAATTTCCTGACTTACAGAAAATATACCAACACTTAGAAAACAGAGTGGTGTTTGACCTGATTTTTGGTGAGACTTCTACTGTGGCTCATTTGAAAAGAGTGGCATCATCAGGCTGCAGAAGATGCTTGGGATAACATTTGGAAAGATTTCAAAGCATCTTTCTCATCATCCTGATTGTTATGCCTTCCTTTTCACTAGGAATATACTCCAGGTATTACATTGAAAGTCAGGAATAGAAATTCATTATTGTTTCCTCAGGAGCAGATGAGTAATAATATGTAGAGAAAGAGCTAAGAGCAGAGGGACATGTCTAAGAAGAGGAGCTTTCATTCTCTGTACCTGTGTCTCTCCTGAGCTCTGAAACAGAATAATCCTGCTTTCCTGGCTGGTAGCAAAGCTGAAGTGTTAGGAGTGATTGGCTAAAACTTGGAAGTGTGAAACACTATTGCAATTTAAATGTTTTGAAATCGGCATAATTGCAGAATGCGTTTGGTTGTCAGAATGCTTTGGAGATTGGAATTTACAAGACTCAAGTGGACATGTGGTTTCACTTGTTACTTTGGACACAAGTCCAGGCATTTAGTAACTGAATTTAAAACTTCTTGCCAGCCACTGAGACCTTGTGAAGGCAGAGGGCATCCTCTTCCAGAACTTCTACTGGGTGAGTACTGTAGTTGTCATAAGCATCCATAAGCAGTGGTGCCGGAGGAGGTTGACTCTTCCTACTGACTTTAAAGATGATTAAAACAGTAGCTGAGCATTGAAACAGCTGGATAAACTGCGATTACAGAGAGTAGCTGCATGCAGTGTGGCAATTACACAAGGTTTACCCTGAGCTTGCCACACCTGCTATACACAGATAGCTGGGCAAGTTTGAATCCAAGCTTTATGTGCTTTTTAATTAGAAGCTATCATGTTTGCCTCAAAAATAATTTTAAAAGGCTTTTAAAAACCGAATTCTTCCTGTTCTGTCCCACTCATTTGAGCATGGAAACAGGAGATTGATCTCTGCACTGTGCCTTCATTATAAACAAACATTTCATCAGTACAGATGAATTTCAACCACAGGTCTAGCTGTAAAGTCACATGACCGTTCATATTTGTCTGTGCTGAAGATCAAACCTGGTATTTAATGCACAGAAGTACAGACTGAGTAATTTTAATTTTCTTTCTTGGAAATGTCAGATACTGTCCTCTCATTTCACACAACTCATGGAGATGCTGAAGATGTTCCGTCGTTGTTCAGCTGGGATGCAGAAACAGAACAAGATTTCTGTCCAGCAAAGGAAGTGACAGGTAAAGCAGTCCTACTGTTTTAAGGCTAACACAAAAAAATCCCTCGTGGCTCTTGAACTGTGAAGTTTTAGTTGTATATGCAGATTTCAGCTTGTCACAAGAGGGCAGCAAATGAACATTAACTCTGGAGGAAGATTTTTAAAAGAAATTTTTTAAAGAATATGAAACTTAAATGAAACATTTAAGTACTGACTTAACCAGTTTCCCGCACTTTAAAATGGCACATTTTATTTGTAAGGCATTTGTAAGCTGTAATTTGTATTTATTCTGAGAGAAGCTCACTCTGCAAACCTGCCTCGGACAAGTAAAGGATATGACTGCTATGTCTGGCCTCTTTTATTAATGTAAGAATTATTACTAATGTCCTGCCACCGTGAGCTGGGACGTCATGCCAGGCCAGCATTCACACGGAAGAGAAATCAGTAACCATTTTCACACAGTCAGGCTGGTAACCTTTCTATACCATCCCCCCTCTAGCTGATGAGCAGATCTCATCCGGGTTGGTCTTTGTGCTTGGGAGATGTTCTCTGCAGATAAAGAGCCCAAATCCAAGAACAGAGGTAGGGAAGGATCTTTGTGTAGTCCTCAGCTCTTTCACTGAAGTCTGATGACTAAGTTACACATCTGAGAAAAGAGTTTTTTACAGGCCCAGCAGACAGGCCCTAGCCTCTTCTGCACTAGGCACGACAACTGGATGCTTGCACGCCATTCGGCTCCTCCAGGTAGCCATGTGCGTGCCTCCATTCCCCCGGGGACACCGAACTCTCGTCAGGTTACTGCAGCCACTTGTTAAGGGGGAAGGTTCGTATTCTGCTGATGCCGTTGCTAGGGACGCAGTCACTGAGGACCCACAAAAGGGCCACCCGGTTTCCCGTTGTCGGTTCAGTTTCTCACAGCTGCCATGCTCCGTACCGTGCAGAAGCCAACTTTCCCCTTGCAGAGTATCAGAGCTGAGCTATTGTAGTCCCAAAGGCATCGGGAAGAGAAGTGCCCTGCTAAACAAACATCTAATTTACATCCTGCAGATGAACCGAAAGAAGCCAAAAAAACCCAAGATGAGGAATTTAGCCTGTGGATGTGTCAGGTCCAAATCTTCTTTACAACAAAGTTCTTCCCGGCCTATCAGCATGAAAAAGTGCTGAGGGAAAAGATCAAAGAAAATCGAATACGGGATGCTGCGTTGGCTGAGCTGAGAAGGATCAAGGACGAGGAGCTGGCAAAGTGAGTGTGGTGTTTTATCTGAAGTACTGTTATCACTCAGCTTCCACTGAGAAAATCGCTGCACATCCATGTGCGTTAGCACAGCAGTGTGGCGTACTGTAACTGGGAAGACAAACTCAGCCCCGTGTAAGAAGTGACAGAATGTAACTCCTGTGACTTCCGGTGCTCTCGGGAGTAACGAATACAGGCAGCTTTCAGGGTACCGATCTCTCGGATTCCCTGGCATTTGAGCCCGCGCTGTGTAAAGGCAGTTAAGACATTCCTTTACGTACTGCAAGTCAGACTTCCTTCAGGTGCTAACCGGACAGATTTTCTGCTTCTCTACGAGATGGCAGTTTACACTGCTCATGCTGAGAACTGAGCTGGAGTTGCTTAGCCAGTGTAAATCTGACTCCCCCCTCTTGCAGTACATTAAATTTAAACTTTGTTCACTCAGACTTACTGCTGGAAGAGAAGCAGAAGAGGCAAAAAGGCAAGAAGCAGCTGCAGCAGAAAAAACACTTGATTCCAAGAGTGAAGATTTTAAGGCGTTAGAGGAGCCTGTCACGCAACCAGCATCCCCTCCAAAGGAAGAGGCGCCCAGCGTAGCACCCCCAGGTGTTACCAAGGGGCTTGCTGGCAAAAAGAGAAAGAAGAAATAAATCTTCTGATGAGAACTACTGAGTCTTTGAGTAAGTACTCTGAATGAGAAAACACAACAGCAGAAGAACCCCATGGGAAACCCAGGTATGATAAACCTGTATGCACGACTTGCAGGTCTGAGGGAAACTATGTTTACACCACGGGTCTCAGGCAAGAGAAGAGTCACTGACCTGAGTGTAACCCTTGAAACAAAACCATTCCAGAACTCAGTCTTTGACTTGTACCTAAAAATTCCCTCAGTGTTGATATAGTCACGATAAGGTACCGGTTCTTGTATGTCCCAGTGACATGGTTTCTGCTTCAAGCCTGGTTTATTGGACCAAAATACTGCATAACAAGTGTGTGAGAATTCGACAGTGAAAATAAATCACTGTGAAGCAGGAGCTGCAAACAGGTCACCCTAGGAAATTCTTTGCTCGGGGGTCTTTGGGAACCAGTCAAGTTTCATATTGTTGAAAACCAGCAAAAAGTGACGCGATGATGTAAATGAATACAGGAAAACAAGAAGATGCCCTTAAAAGTGTAACAATTATTAGTTTTATTGTCCAGTAAAATATTCACATAATAATCAGAATGGAATGGTACAGATGAATTCAGACTGGTTTTTAGTTAATTTGCACATAAACTTTTTTAAAATCTAAAAATTTTATCAGAGTTTACAGATTTTAGTAGAAATTTTGATTCTTACAAAGCAAGTATTGCTTTACTATTGTCATTATTCCAGTCAATAATATGACTAATAACTTTTCATGTTGAACAAGTGTCTGACATTGACATCTTCAATAAATCAGCCCTCTGCAGATCAATCCAAGAAGAAAATATTATTAAACTGTGTTGCACAAAGTTTCTTCACTTCTTCTGTTTAAAAAAAAAAAAGAAAAAAGTTCAGTGTGATATTTTACCGGAACCTCTGCAAGAAAAACCCTGGGAATCATCAAGGAGAATATAATTAAATTCAGACACAAATCTTCTAGGAGTTTCTAATGTAGAAATACACTTTACTTTCTCTTACTGGAGACAGAATAAAATTGAGTCTGGTGTTTCATGCTGTCTGAAAGACGAGTTGTATTCTGAGTGGCTGACACACGAATGGCCCAGCAGCCACCTCAAACCACCATTTATCTTGTCAAACTCTTAGACTGCAACAGCAGAAAACTAAACTTCACACTTCCTTGCATCACTGTAACCCTTTTTCAGGGGCAGGAGGGATTAGTGTAGTCTGTTAGAGTAAATCAAGACAGCAAAACTTTTGCTTTGTGCTGTCTGGCAGACACCACCTTGGGGGAAGCAGTACTTCCGAGGTATCGGACACAGAAACACTCATTTACTATTTCTGTATGGCAGGTTTGATCCTGAAAGACAATTAGAAATCATTGTGTAAGTCATGCAACTCCCTCCTCTTTAGGCTGCTAAGCTTTGGTCTCGGAAAAGTAGTTCTTTCACATCATCCAAGTGAGCATGTTGCCTCCCATTAAAACAGAGCACCCGAAAATTGCTACAAGTAAGACTCAGACCGCTGCTTCTCCTAAAGACTACTGTAAAGCTTAGTCAGTCAGTCACTCTCAAAACAGCATTAGAAACAAGACAACACTGGAAGGAGGATCACTGACAGGATAGACGTTATACAGCAGCAACCTACCTGGTCTTATAGATCAATCCCTCTCTAGATTTCTTGTGAGATGGGTTTTATTACTTCTCCAGGGACATACATTTTAGTAGTAACTGTATTTAAAGGTAATAAAAAACAATCCTTACCATTAACTTCAATCAGATTTGCATTTTTTTGATTCAAAATAACATACAGTTCTCGCTGGTCAGACTTTTTCCCAACTACCCAGTAATCACTCATTGCCTTCACAATAATTTCCTCATCTTCATCAACTCTGAAAGAAGTTTTAGAAAGTAAAGACGGTGGCAGCACGTTCATCTTCAAAAATTTTACGACATTAAGCTGTCCTAATGATTACAAGTAAGTTGCTGTGGTGGTGCGGTATCCAAGAGAGACTACCACTGCTAGCTTAGACGTGCTTTTCAGCAGCTCAGGCTGAGGCTTCCTAAGTGGCTGCTTGGGACAATGACATCCTCAGAGGAGTAAGTCTTTAACTTGTCCATCAGCCAGACATTCCTGTGCTCTGCAGAACACAGCTGTTAAGGACACACAGGGACCAAACGATGAAAGTTGGAGATGGTATGGTGATACCAGGCTTTCACATACCTAGTTGTTGGACCTAGAACTCAGCCATGCTCAACGACGAGTTATCTTACATGAAGTTGTCACTAACCTGGTACTTCCACAGTATGATTAAACATTCTTTTTTCATTTGTAGAAAAAAGAAAACCTTGTCCTTAAGCAGAGTGGGAAAATTGCTAGTCACTAATTATAGCCAGACCACAATCATTCAGCATTTTCATACTCTATTAAGTACTTTTTATAGTGACAGGTATCCTACTTCAAGGTGGGAGAGACCCTATTGCCAAGAGGCCAGTTACCTTCTCTGTCAGCAGTACCGGTGAGGTTTGCACTTCATCTATTGTCTCATCCCCAAAGGAGCCAGCTGTTCCAGAGGAAGGTGTAATACAGGCAGAAGCAGCTTTCCCTGTCCGTTATACTACTTATCCAAAGGTTACACAGACTTACGTGCAAAAGCACTGGCTTCACATCCCTTCTAAATTTGTTGTGGCTACTCTGAAGCATCAAATAGATCAGATATTCCCTTGGATAGAGGCCCTGGCCCTTCTTTCAATTATTTTTTTTAAAAGGACAATAGAAGTAATCACCATCGCCTGAGATATTTAAAAGACATGTAGATGAGGCACTTAGGGACATGCTTTAGTGGTGGATTGGGCATCATCAGGTTAACAGTTGGACTTGATGATCTTAATGGTCTTTTCCAACCTAAAAGATTCTATTTTAGGTGTTGTTTAGACAGGCTACTTTTAAACCAACACCAAATACCAAACATGACCCGTGTTACACCATTTATCACAGAGCTACGAGTAGCCACCCGTGAAGAAGACGTGAAAGCTTCACTCGTTTGAAAAAGTCTCCTTGACAGGGGTTACAGACTGTTTAATAGTTAAGCGTTACCTGGAGAAGTCACTGTTGATGTCACCGAGAATCTTCATGAGGTCAGGGTGAACAGATGCAAGTGATACACTGGGTGTTTTCCTCATGTGAATGGTGCTTTTCTCTGCCAGGTTCATGTGATTGAAATAGATAAACTTAAACTGAGGCTCCTTCTCAGCCCTGGAAAGGTGAAACAAAGCCTGTGACTTGCGAGCACAGACCTGTTCTGTAAGCACAGCTTCACAGAGACAGGCAGCTAGCCAGAGCAAAGCTGACTCAGACATCCTCAAGTTCCCTGCCCCTTGAAGAGACCAAGAACGTTAAGACCTGAGGCATGATCAAACTTCATTTTAACACTTAAAAAGAAAAGAAAAAACAGAAGCCTGCAAACCCAGCAGTTTTTCCCCTTCTGCTGTTTAGGCTGCTAGCAAAGAGACACAGGGGAGCGTAAAGGCCTTGTCCCACTTCCAGCAGTAGTTTGTATTTTTCTGGTGAGCTGGTTTTTCTGCCCCCGTTTTGTTTCCTTGTTCCCCTAGGCCAGGCTAATCTGGTTTGAGTGGATGCTAGATCTTTGATTAATAAATAATCTTCCACTCACATCTCTCTTACTTGTTACAATCAAAAGAAAGAACTCTTTGCCCCACCAGCTGCGTGTGCCAATGGAGACCACTTGCAACCTCCTGCTGTGCAGTCTTCCCCCCTGTACTCTTCTATTAAGTTAATATAAATCTGTCAGAGCTGCACGTTTGGCAGAAGTCACAGCGCATTCGGACTGGCAGAAACTGGCTCTGGCAACTGGTGCTCCAGGCTATGTATTATTTACAGTCGGGGAGATACTGCGACGACACCACTCACCTTCGCAAACAACTGGATACCCCTGCTCTCCGTCACCCCGATGCATTGGCCTCAAGAAACCGTATCATGTTTTCAGGACACCAAGCCATTAAACTTTAAAAGAGTTAAAGCTGCCAAAGCCAGTCCAAGATGACATTAAAAAAAGCCCCAAGTTTAATGATTTAGTAGATTGGCAAAACTTCAAGCACGTCCTATTCTATACCCTGCAGTTCTGCTGGTTGGGCATGCTACCACTGCAGGAGCTCAGCCACACCCCTGTCTTCGGTTTAACTCCCCGTCTGTCCTCCTACGCGACGCTGTGCCTGTTCCCCCAACTGCCTGCCTGAAAATAAACACAATTTTATGGGAAGTCAGCTATAGTTCTATGTGTGTTTTCCAAAGCACTAACATCCTTTTTCATGTGACTTTTTTTTTTGCCCCTCAAGTCCTGCAAAACAGAAAAAATGAGGCAATATTTTCCTCAACTACTATACACGGCAACACTTCAGGAAGCAGTAATTCTGGAAAAAAGTATTCAACTCTAAATCTCGCACTCTAACCATGTAAATACTAAAATCATAATTTCAAACTGTTAAACAAAAGTTGTTCTAGATTTTCCTTTGGGATTTGTAAGACAGTTTATAGCTTGGACAGAGCATCCAACTCCTAGTACTTGTGTCTAAGGCCGCCCTCAGCAGAACTAGTGGTGTCAGTGTCTGTGTGGTGTGAAAACTCCTCTGACATTCTACAAAACAGCCGCCTGGGGAAGCAGAATTCAAAGGAATCGGCACAAGGAAGGATGTGGGCACAAAGACAGTGATAAAGTGACTTTTTTTTTTTAAGCTCAAATGTTCTACTAGCCCAAAGGCCATTTGTGAACATTATGAGATCCTGTTTTCCTCAAGGAAAGCCAGAAGTTATCAGCTGCAGTTACGATTTTGCAGGAACTGCTGCTTCTCTACTTTCTACTTCAGCATGGGGGGCAGTGACAGAAGACTGCTGCTGCAGGTGGCATTGCTGCCGTCTTGTACGTCTCCACAGGCACAGTAATCTGTAGAACCCATCATCTCCACGGGTCAGCCAGTTTCAGTTCAGACA